CTTAATTTACCACTAGCCTCATTTAAAAGAATGATTTCGAAGTTCTTTTCGGTGTGGCCTAGAAATGCGGACAAGTGGATGAGCGAATAGCTTCTAATTGAACCGGCTCGTCATTAGTGTGTTTGCATGCCTCTGAAGGTAACATTCTTCAAGCTATTTCAGACTACCAGAAGAAAACATCTCAGTGGCACTAACAGAGCTCCATTATAAAACAATCCCCGCTTTCTATTCACAGATGTTAGAAGTCACAAATTCTGAAAAACCGCTTTATAAAACTGATCAGATAATACGGGACTTTCTATTGGTCATCGATGGGTGGGCGTCGATCATCGAACGATGTTTGTGCCAATTTGTTATCCAACACCAACCAAATTCGGCGATTACTAGCAAACAGGCAATTGGTTGCTTACATTGCGTGTGTTTACAGCTCGGATGGCAACAATTTGCCCTTGCAACTGCAAAATTGGTCGCTATAAGCCCGCATTTTACAAATTCAATCCCTAAGTATACAGCAGAGGACTTTCTTGGCTGGGAAACTATGCATTGAACTAAAAAAACCCACATACGAAAATTGGCCTCAAGTACTCAAGTTTGCAAACTCATTAAAAAATCTCTGAAGAAGGAATCAAGTCGAAACTTTCAGTGCGCGTTAATATAGGCTTTAGATACTTAATTCACAAATCACCAACTTTCGACCTGTTCTGGCTTTGTAGACACTGATTTTTTTCGGATTGTATGCACAAATCAATGAATGTCGCATAAAATGGCGCAAGTTTGAAAATTCATGAAAAAATCCCTGATGGAGTGATGGATTTGAAACTTTCAGCATATGAGTGCATGATGTAACGCCAAAATCTTAAGGTTGTGACATTTCAAATTTTTTTACCAGATTTTTTTTCAATTTAGGACGAAAGTCGATGTTTGACTACCAATTTTGAAGTAAGAAAGTGATCAAATTCAAACCTGTAAACTGTAGGCGTATGTATGTTTCGTGTATATTAAGTTACTTTCCATGTTCGATCTTTTAAATATTTTCCAAATGACTGACGAAATTCTTCGATGTTGACTAGAATGTCACAAGTTTAAAAATCAATCACAAAAGCGTTAGGAATGCGATCACTTTCTAACTTTCCGCACAAATTAAGCGAGCCTTAGGCTATGGATTGGAAAAATGTACAACTTTCTCGCTTGCCAGCTTGCAACGTTACACGTTCCAGAGTGAAGACAAAAGCGACTAAAAATTAAAAAGTTTCAAATCAAAATTAATTCCTGGGTTTCAGTCATTTATTGTCTCACGTTTCGGTGTATTTTTCCACCATCATCAGTTTTTATGTGTAGCGTTGTTGCTACTTTAAGCCTTGGCATGCATTTTTTGTTGCCAAAACACTTTTCAATTCTCTATCCAACGATGCCAAAACGAATTCTGTGGCTCGAATGGTTCTTGAGAAACTTCTAAAAAAGCAGCGTCATGTTCAAGTGGATTTTGCAACTCAAAACAAAACCACGCAAAACTGAAACTTCTTGAATTCAAGCATTTTTTGAGAAAACTGCCACCATTTCCTTATCGATGGTTCACTTTCTGCAAAGGCCATTTATTTCTCTCTAGAATGAGCGTTCTTGCTCATTTTGCCTCCGAGAAAGGAGCAAAAACGGGACGGAAAACATGAAATTTAGACATAATCTTGCACCAAAGCGTCTGATATTTAAATTTCGCTTTTTGGGTCAAAACTATTCGAATTTCCTCACTCACGTTGTTACGACTGTTTCGACTTTTCAATTCTCTATCCAACGATGCCAAAACGAATTATGTGGCTCGAACGGTTCTTGAGAAACTTCGAAAAAAGCAGCGTCATGTTCAAGTGGATTTTGCAACTCAAAAAAAAACCACGCAAATCTAAAACTTCTTGAATTCAAGCATTTTTTGAGAAAACTGCCAACATTTCCCCATCCATGGTTCACTTTCTACAAAGGTCATTAATTTCTGTCTAGAATGATGTACAAATGAGCGTTGTTGCTCATTTTGCCTCCGAGAAAGGAGCAAAAACGGGACGGAAAACATGAAATTTTGACATAATCTTGCACCGAAGTGTCTGATATTTAAATTTCGCTTTTTGGGTCAAAACTACTCGAATTTCCTCACTCACGTTGTTACGACTGAATCGAATTTTCAATTCTCTATCCTACGATGCCAAAACGAATTCTGTGGCTCGAATGGTTCTTGAGAAACCTTGAAAAAAGCAGCGTCATGTTCAAGTGGATTTTGCAACTCAAACAAAA